ATTTGTACAAGAAAGCAAAAAGAGAGAGAGAGAATAATGTCTTGAAAATACAACAAACAACGATGGCAAGAAAAAAAGGGGGGATCAATCGATTCTGAGTTGTTCGGAAGGAGGGGACCCGATGAGACGTTTAAACCAAGTAGGATAGTGCACGATTTGGTTAAAGAAGAAGGTACCGACGACGAGGATGATGAAGCCGACCAACTGAAGGAAGCTAAAAGATTCCCAGCCGATAGCGAGCGAGAAAGCCCAGATACCAACGGAGCGACAAGTATCGATGACCGAGCGGGCGGTAGCAGAGATAGATTTGGTGACCGCGAGGCCACAGAAATTGAACAGGGCAATGCTGATTGCAATCGCTACTGAGGACCACATGATCCTCGGGTTGCTCAATACTTCTTCCACCCCCGTTCGCGCATCAAAATATCCCCCGCGTCCTTCCGGTCGTGAGCCGATGAAAATATGCAGAATCGGGATCCCTACGATCGTTGTTATCAATCCAAATACTCCTTCCAATCCAACCGCTTCTAATGGCGGAACTTCATATTTGCACATGATCTTTTCTTCAATCACAAATTGAGATGCCGTACTTTATTTGGACCAAAAAAAAAGGAGACAAACAGTAAGCTAACAAAATTCAGAGCACCCTGTTTTGATGGGAGACTGGGCAGAAGTTTCTTGAGAAAATACGCACAAGAGTTGGGCAAAGAAGATCAGAAAGAGGCCCAAGACGACCTTACCGCCAGGCTCGGAAGAGTCGATGGCGGCAAGGGAGACCAAATGGTTTTCGATTTGATCAGAAGGTTGAAGGGGTTGAGGTTGCAAAGAGCCAGCATAACCGACAAGGGCGACGCCAGAGGTGATGATCGCCAGACTGATCCACTTCTCGCGAGATAGATGTCGGTTCAGGAAGATGATCGAAAAGAGGCCGACCCAGATCGGGAGCGCTCCTCGGATCATTTGGAACACTGAGACTGGAACAAAGAGGAGACCCGCGTTCATGAGCTGTAGAAAACACGCCGATACAGAAGAGAAAAAAGAGCACAAATCAGGAAACAACAGCGAGTGAAATGTGAAGCATCTTTTTGTTTCTCGTATGAAAGTTTACTGACAGTAGTTCCACAAATATCGAACAAGGCGGGCAGCCAAAAGACGAATTTCTGGAGGCCGACCAGCTGGAGGACAGAAGGTTCGTGTTGGTTGACGAGGAGTTCAGGTTCAAGGGAGCTAGCGAGGGGAGCGGGGGAGGGGCCATGTACGGCGAGTGGGGTTGGATTAGGACAGAGGCGAGATTTGAGATGGGCGGGTTGGAGGAGGGAGTCAGAGAGGGAGGCAGAGTGGTCGGAGGTGAGCGTATCGCCGAGGGTTGATTCTTGTTCCTCCTCCTCCTGCAGTCGCCCGTCCATCGAATCCCGCGGAATCGGCGCGTATCCTAGCTCCTTGTCGTCTCGCGTCGGTCTTGTTATCCATTGGATGATGTAGTACGCTATCATGCAACATGCCTCTCCTACAAACATGTTCAAGGTTTGCCATACCGGTTGCTCGAAGTTTCGATGTGTCGTTGGATCTGGATTGGCGCAGTTCCTTAAGGAGGAATAACCAGTTAGTATGTGTAGAAATAAACCTTTCTTGAAGAAATATCAAAAGACTTACTCGACACATTGTTGGTCTTGAAATTTAGACCATAAGCTATTCGAGCATCCTATACACAAGCAAGATATACGAATTTGAAGCTGGTTTAGTTTGTTGGTAAGCCGATCCAAATGAAAATATGATGGATAAGGATGACAGACCAGTGATGAGCATTCCAGTGACCAGGATGGCAGCTGAGGCAGAGTTCGACATGATGGGATTCTTGATGGTTTGGTTGAGTGGTGAGTTGGACTGTATTAGTAGTTGGTAGGTTGCCAGTAGACTGTAGTAGGGTGGTGCTACTCCAGTGGGGCCCGCGGGTGGTGTGCAGGGGACACCCGGTCGGCAGGACCCCCCCCCCCCGAATCTCACCAGCCTTCCTTCCTTTTAGACCTCAAAAGACTTCTCACTCCTGTCTCTGGCATCAAAGGCTTAATGGAAGTTTTCAGCTTGTCAAACAATTCCCTTTCGCCAAAAAAATTTACAACAGGGTCATGAAATTGAATGAATTCAAACGCTTAGAAAAGAAAAATACTGCGGACTCTCATCATAATATCTATCAGGCCAAGGATTCCTCCTTGGCAACTGATGCATCTCATACCGGTCCGTCAAGTACTAATCTATCTCAAAAATTTTCAAAATTTTGCACACCTTGTGCTGGGCTACCAAGGGAGAATCATCTTGGCAAGCACATGGCGCACATTCATTGCCAAAAGGCATGAATCAACCCCCAGTTGGATGGTCCAACTTGAACAACCCACGATGTTGTCCCAAATTCCATGATCTGTGTCAGTTGGTTTTGGGGTTGTTGAGTGAAATTTTTAGGGATTTTTCCCCCAGTGCTCTTTACCTAACAGAGGCACTGGGTTGTGTGTGCCAGTGGGACCATGAGTAACCAACTGGAACTTGATGTCAGGTTAAACGTTGATGTAAAAACAGATGATGTAGCTCTGTTCAAGCTGTTGTTATAATCCAAAGTTACCCAAATAGCCTCTTTGCCCCTTGTAGAGGTCTATAACCAACAATGGGCCAGTGATGCTGACTGTAGCAATATTAGTGCAGCGTAATGTGGCAGAATTCCACTAACATTTGGTGTAGCACAGCCTCATTCCACCACAACTGAGCTACAGCTACGCATGCAGGCCATAAAGAAGGGCCCACTGCGCTGAACTGCAGCACTAAGAACATTTTAGCAGTTTAATGGCAGTTTTTGATGCTAAAAAGCATAACATAGCGTAGTGGGACTAACAGCACACTAACATTACAGTGTTGGCAGACTGTTTTGAGGGCTGCTAACACTACAAGCAATACCCATTTTGCCCCAACAATAAATGGCAATTTGGGTGGGGGAAAATGGATCAATTTTCTGGCACTTTTTTCCAAAATGCCTCAGGAGTAGAAATTGGGCTAAACTGAGCTATTTTAGCCCAGAGATAGAAATTCATCAAACATTCCAAAATGTTTTTTTAGCTCATTTGAGACATTTTTGTTTTTTGGCTAAAATAGCTCATTTTTGCCTAATTTTTTAATCCTGAGGCATCTTGTAAAAAAAGTGCCAGAAAATTGATCTATTTTCCACCATCCAAATTGCCATTTTTCCTTGGGGCAAAATCGGTATTGTTTGTAGTGTAAACTAATGTTAGTGGTCCGTTTAGCTTAGTGTAGTGTAGCCGCCCATTGCTGACTATAACAGCAGTGAGCTGGGTATCTGATGAGTAGATGGGTGGGCTTATGGGGAGTTCACCTGTATTAAGGTGTCACTAGACATTTCCTGGTCACCAGGAAATGACCCAGCACCTGTTTGTGGGTACCTGCTTTGGAAAACAGGTACCTGCTGACATCTCTATCCTGGTGTGACCATGCATATGACTGGGTTTGAAGCTATCTAGTATGTGTAGAGTAGGGAGATTAGAATATGTGAAACTATTTGAACAGAGGTAATTAATTGAATAGAGAGAAAAATAGTCAAGTGTAGATATGGAAATTTAGAGAAGGAAACAGTTATTGTTTGAGTGTGAAGAATCCCTCAAGCACTTGTAGCTTGAGGTGCAAGTGAGGATTATGCCTAACAATGAAAGACCTGTGTGACAGGATCTCAGTTGGAACTGTGGCATTTCTTGTTTTTCAATCTCAAACTCATTCCTTGTCTTGCATCACCTATCAAGGTACCTCAGCTGAGTTGACTTTTCCTTGTAGTAATGGTAACTCCAGAATTATGAGTGATTTGCTTGCTTTAAGCTATTCAATGATTACAATAAACTAGTTGACTGTTCCACGTCATCATTCCATTTGGCACAGCCACAATTTCCCTGGTGATAAAGAGTAGAAGAAAAACAGAAAAACAAAACAGAAAATAGGTAATGTGATGTGAAAAAGGAAATTATTGAGAGAATCACAATGCAAACAGAGAAGTCCTTGACTTTTTTGGGCCCAAAGATGATTGGAGAAGATTTTAAAAAGTGTTTGCTCCCTTGCCCCAAATGGGAAAGAGAGAAGAGAATAGAAGGGATTAGGAAAAAGGAAAACAAAATATAATACAATAAAACATAGGAGAAGAAAATGGAAAAAGGGAAAAATTATGTGCTGTTTTTTAGGTTTTCCTAATGAGATATAATCAGAGTATACTCAGGGAATTGTTGCCTTTTTGTGGTCTAGGGTTTGCCGGAAGGCTGAGGTGTGAGAGATTCCGACGGGGCAATCGTTCTGAAGGCTCAGGATCCCTAAAACTTCGGACCCAGTTGATGCCATCACTGCTCAAAGCTTTCCGAGGGAAAGTCTGAGGGTAAGTGACAGGAGGACATATCCTAACCCGAAGCTTATCACCCTTGACCATCTCTAGATGACTAGGACAACTGAGTGGTGAAATGTTAATCGGTTTTGAATCCCGAATAAGGGTTAATCCAATGCGCTCTGGAGGCTCCGAAGTCCAGCTCGAAATCTTTCCAAAGACCACTTGGAAGCGTTGATCCACTCCAAGAAGCATGGCTGGTGGTAACGGCCGATGGGTTTTGCCTCTGCCGGCCTGTTCAAGTTGGACTATAATCGTATTGGGTGCTAGAATATCGGTGCCAGCTTAAAATTCATCAGTATATTTTCGCAGGGAACTATCGAAATGAAATCTTCTTTTACCTGTAGCCTCCGGATCTTCCTCCTGCGAGTTGGGCAATTCTTGCTTTTGATCGACTTCCGCAACGAAATCGCAAAACCGCGGACAATCCCAAGGCTCTCCGTGATCGTCATAATATCTGAGGCATGCCGGCTCTGTGATAAAAGAACGTAAGCAAGTTAAAAAAAAGTTCTGGTGTATCTTAGGGAAAAAAAACTCACTTGGAGCATTTTCGCTGTAAAATCTTCCTAAAGGGGGCCTGCCAATCGTTGAAGATTTGTCGTTGACTAAAGCCTTCACAGGTTCAGCGAGGACTGGGCTTTCAGCAGTTTTTACCTCAAGGCAGTCGCATGGCTGAACCGATTTCCGAAAGCACTTAGGACATCGAATCTCTATGAATTCAGAATGATAAGTCCTTAGCAAAACGGTAGAATTCACTAAGATCAAGGTGGGGAAAAATCGGGAGACTAACTTGGAACTGGTTTGGGTCCTCTGGTGAATGCGACCTTGTTGCTAATTTGTGACTGTCGATTCGTGGCTAAGCGGATCGGGGGTAATGTTGGGTTGGATGTTGTCTGTGTTGGGGGAGTCAGTTTATCGGCTTCTTCTGGAACTTTCTTCAATGCCACTTTTTTACTGATTTGTGAGCGGCGATTCTCGACTGAGCGAGTCAGGGGTAACCGAGTCAGGGGTATCTTTGGGATGAGTGTTCGCTGGGTAGAGCTAATAACTGGGCTAGCTGAACCGACGTCGTGTTGGGGAGGAATTGTCGCCACTTCTTGACTTTTGGCGACCACGGATATCAACGAGCCACATCGGAGAGATCTCCAGGAAGACGGTGCTAGCTCAGCTCGTCCAACTTCAGCGATGTCAAGGTAGAAAATTATGTCTGCTGCTTGCTCCAAACAAAAGAGGACTCTCGCGTCTTCAACGGCTTTCTAAAGGTAGTGTTCATATCCAGGGCAGAAGTTTTAGATCCACGTAAGTTATTCAAGAATGAATTTCCAAGAAATATTGATGATTTTAAACTGTGATATTTTGGTTGACTTGCCTCATGACTGATGGGATTGGCCGTCAGAATTAGTCGTTCGTTGTGTTGGAATGTGATGTTGGGCATGTTCTGGTCACGAGCTGACGGAAGTAATCACACCCGTGCAGCAGAAGTGGCCAAGGATGATGAGGAATTAGGAAGGTTGGCGATGAAAAACTTGGGTATGGGATCCGTTAATTCTACTTCAAAGAAAAACTATTGCAACCGAGGTGGGGGGAGTTAACAGTACCAGGGTACGTATCTAAAGGGCTACAGACCCTCCGGCAGTGACTGCATAGAGTTGATCGCGGTTATACGTGGCCCATTACTACCCTGGCGACCACATTAGACTGGTAAATAGGTTGAGCTTTCAACTTGGAGACTTGATCACGGCCCAGTTGATGCTTGGCCAATACAACAACATTGGGGATACTGGATGCATAGTAAAAATGTATGCCGGCGCTCTATGAGGAGGCGAAGCGAAAACGCTAGTCCATGAATATCTGCCCGACCAGCCATGACCCCACTAACTGCACACCACGGCCACTTCGAAGCCGACAGCTAGCTATGGTTAGTGCGGCTGGGCACATTGAAGCTGCTGTATCGACTCTGGCGATAGTCAGCTTTTGTTCGGAATCCTCTCAGCTGCCGCGAGAGCGCTAGTGCACCTAACTCTCGCCAAGCGGAAAAGACCCGATGACCCAGCTGCAGTCGACACTTGCGGTCCAAAATATCTTTTTCTGCTTTTGAGAGCAGAAACAATTCGCCTGCCGGTTGGTTGATCTTTTTCCGCTGTCGAGAGCGGAAACAGTCTGACCCTCTCTGGCAACCAAACTATTCTCGGCGGACGTTTGAGTTTGGAAAGGCAAGTAAGCCGGATGGCATGGCCATGGATTTGGCTTCATTGCGCTCAACAGCCCCTATTTACAGGCGCCGGCTAGCCTAATTAGAAGTCATGGAGGAAAAGAAAGTAAGAAAGGCCAGGTCCAGGATGAGACAGAAACAAAAGACAGCGAGGTGCAGCCGATGCCCCATTGCCGGGGAGGATGCCTCCTCAGCGAGCACATTGGCCGAGCCAAATTCAAGCAAAATTCACCCCCGGCGAGCAGGTAAAAGGCATATTTGCTGGCGGGGTCAGCTTCTTCCGTGTACGTAGAACAGCAGGGTCCTGCTCACCGGAAAGGGTCCCTCGCCGGTGAGCGGGTATATCCTTGGAGGGAAGCTCAGAAGTCCGTGTGTTGCTAATTTGCCTCGGACTTTTCATTACTCCTCATTGGGTAATGAAGCGTCACGTTAGGACTATACACTTGTGTCTTATTTTTTTTTGGTGCCAGTTCTCGCCCGCTGTTGTGTGGTGTGTGGGGTACACATAGACTCTCTCAAGACTTCCAAAGAGCTGCCAACCACAACAAACATACAGCCATGCAGCTTCCCAAGAGGCACAAGTCATCATGGGTATCCCTACTAGCCCTTGCCACCCTCGCCTGTTCAGCCAAGTCGCCCGCCTCACTCGGCTCACTCACCCAGAACCACCTCCTCTTCCCCCTGGCCGGCCTCAAGAACTGGCTGGTCCGCAGGCGCTCGCATCGTGTGGACGAGCAACTGGTGGCCAGTTGCACGAGGAAACGCTTGGACGATGACCCTCCATCGACGGACCGGGTGACAGTCCAAGTTAGTACTCCTCCTTCCATTTTTTCCTCTACCAAGTTTCATTCCGACTGAGCAAGCCATCGATGTTTTCTTTTTTTTAAATAATCCCTTAGTTGTTCCAGTGGAGATACTCGGATGTCGGCGACGAATGTGAGGCCTTCTTAGGCCCGAACGGATACCGATACGTTCAGGTTTCGCCACCTCACGAACACATTGAAGGGCCACAGTGGTGGACAGACTATCAGGTCGGTCTTAACCGAAAAGACAAGAAAAACCATCTCATGGAAATGAAAATAAAATCAAAATATATATCCCGTCATTTTGAATGATTGATCATCGATCCTCGTTTGGTCTTTGTATTAAAAAAAAAAAAGCCGGTCAGCTACCGGATCGGCTCCAAGAGGGGATCCGAGGCCGAGTTCGATAGGATGGTTCAACGTTGCGGCGGTGCTGGGGTGGGCGTGATTGTGGACGTGTCAGTGATTTTTGATCCGAATAATAAACACCAGTGTTGATTTCCAGTCTCAATATCCGACCTTCGATCCCTTTAGAGTCCTTAACCACATGTCCGCCGGTAGCACCACTGAATATCGTCGAGGCAGCTCCGGGTCGTCATACCGGAAATACGAGTATCCTGACGTTCGTTATCCCATCGCTTTCACCTCCCCCTGCTTTCCGAGCTCAATGTTCATGGTATTTTGCTTCGGTTTCCAACTCTAGCTCTACACGCGGAACAACTTCCATAAATGTATCTCTCTTTCTCCCTCGTTCTGATCTTTCCATTTTTTTTTTGAAGGTGGTCGCGCTCGGTCTAACTTTCCTTCCATTCGATCAGGTCGAAAGCGTGGAAATCTCGAGATCACCAATTATATGAATCGGTATGAGTGAGTGCTTCCAACAAAAAAACATAACTGAAAACGGATGAAAGAATCAACACCGAATAACTTAGAGTTTTCTTCAATTTTTGTTTCATAATAATGGCTAAACTACGGCTGATGAGAGGGTGCAAAACTGTGAACTAGTGGGACTAGCAGACTTGAAGACCTCCCAGCGACATGTGCAGGTCCAACTGAAGAGTTATCTGACGAGACTAGTAGACAAGGGCGTCGCTGGTTTTCGGATTGATGCCGCCAAACACATTCCCGCCTCCGAGCTGCTCGACATCCTCAAGCTCATCCCCATCAGAGTCGTCCAGGAAGTCATGTATACCGGCGGTGAACCGATCCGGCCTGAGGAATGTTCGTCCTACTCAATCCTTGATCCTCTCTCTCTCACCTTTCTGAAAAACTCGCGCGTTCCTATGATCATCCACATTTCTAGACTCCGCCATTGGTCGAGTTCACATCTTCCAGGCCGCGTACGATCTTAAGCGAATGTTTTTGGTCAGTCCACAAAGACTCATATTCTTTTCTTGTCTTTTTTTAACCCCGTTCTCGTTGTTGGTATATATTTGAAGTGAATGGGCCATAAAGAGTAAGATAACCAAGAAATGATGAGCTGACGCAGTTTTTCTGTAGTCTGATGGAATCGCTTATCTAGGTCATGTTAGTTGTATCCCTAAATCTCTGCTTCAATCGCCTTCTGGTCTTTCCAAGAAAACTTGAATGTTAACCGGAACAAAAACTTTTCCGGTGCCAAGCCCGTTCCTTGGGGACCTCAGTGGGGTGATGGGTAATTCAACTTGCCGGGCATTTTTCTTTTTCCTTTGTCCTGGTGAAGCTAATCATTATACAAACAATCATCTTTTCTTTCTTTCTTTTTTTTGAACTCAGCTATCTACCAAGGTGAATCTTTGTCTTTATTTTGGCTTCCTTTGCGTAAGGGGTAATGAAGTGAACTTTATGAAAGTTGATAGACGCACTTCCTGACACGATTTATTCTTTATTTCCATTCAACTGAAATTGAATGAACGAAGTTCACATAGCCAGATCTTTGTGACCAACTGGGACCTCGAGCGGAACGAGCATGGCATAAGGATCGACAAGGACCCAGGGGCATATCTGCTCTGTCAAGTCTTCATTCTCACCTGGGGATACGGCCAAGTAGACGTCTTTAGTGGTTATCACTTCTCCGCTTATGATGACGGTCCTCAGGACCCGGTCGCTCAATGTGGTCGGTCAGTTGGACTTTCACGTCTATTGGTTTTTTTCTTATTCACTTGGAGCGTTTAGCATACTTCGAAGTTAAGCTATTGTTCTTCTGGAGCGTTGTTGAAGCTTATTTCGGGGTTGTTTATTATAAGGTTTGGCTGGAGATGCGAACATCGACATCCGATGGTCGTAGGAGCCATCCAACTCGGGGCTGCTGCTTCAGACCAACCCGTGCACAACATAATAACTGTAAGCTAAGCTATCTACGAGCCATAAAGACTTCCAAGCTGCAAACTGACCAGAGTTTGTTCTGTTTCACTTGACAAATTTGTTCGGGCCGCGACAGTCCGGCGCGCATCGACTGGCGTTCAGTCGAGGCTCGAAAGTGTTTGTGGCGATCAACAACGACGACTCGGCCTGGGTGCTGAGGGACGTGGTCGTGGGGTTGCCGCTCCCGGCGTCGCCTGAGGATGCATACCGAGAGTTGAGCCGGGTTTCCTCCCTGTTTTTTGATCGCTCTCGCTCCTTCAGTATGTCCCCTGAACGCACAGATACTTACTCCCGTCCTCCGTCTAGTCGGCTCCACCCCGCAGGGGAAGGCCAACTCGTGCATCTACAGCCAGACCCCTCATCCAGCCTCGCCCGCTTGTGTCCTCTCACTATTGCCCCAAGATCGGCAATCGGAATCATGGTCGTCTGACAACATCTTTTTTCGGATGGAATCTCCCTCTTTTTCCCTCCTTGGCTCCTATTATGTCTAATGTAAACAAACACAATCTGTGTCTCTGCTTTGTTTTTGGTTGCAGTTGGGATTGGTCCACTGGAGTTTGTATAGTTGCAATGATTAATATTTTGATATGTAGTCGAGGACACTATGAACTTTCTTTGGATTGTGGGTGGTAGTGGCACGAATCTGACAATGCTGATAGAGACTTTTCTCCCAACGGAGCATCGATGGCCGGGTCGTGTGGGCTTCTTACGACTCCCTCAGAGACGACGTCCGCTTCAGTCGAGCCAGCGTGTGCCTCTCATAGAGTCTCGATCTTCTCATAGCTGCCCCTATTCCTAAAGTTGAAGAATTTCACAGCAAATCTGGGACGGATTTCTCACCGACAGGACTCGTTAACCTGCTGTGGTTCCTCCTGGTTACTCACAAGCTATCAGTCAATTCTCTGAGTGACTGCTCAGGCCATAACTCTTGCAGGTGGCGCTTGAAACAGCAGGTGAGATGCTAGTCTGAGGATCAAGCACTTCTTCTCTTTCCATCAATTCTGGTTCAAGAATATACATATAAGCTCTGAAGTGTACAGCTTTGGCTGAATGGAAGTCGGACGTGAGGAAATTCAAGCAAAGTTGCATACATACATTATGCCCTGCCTCTTCGCATCCTTGCCTGTGTATCCTGGCATGATGTGGGGCAAAGCTTATGACGCAGAATGCTCACATTTTCTGAGCAAGCACCAATCTTATTTACATTATGCCTTCGTGACCTCAGGGCCAATGGGGCGCAGTGGCAAATTGCAATTGTAGTTGAAGCAGCTAGGATAATAACATTCATGCCGAAAAAAAAGTGTCATTCATACCTAAAACAGGCGGAGATACAAAGCTGTGAAAATCCTTCAGACAGAAAATCATATGCTCTTTGAACCACCGAATTTCTCAGTCTCGACTGTCATCAAACCGCAGGTGAAGAAACACTTGTGCCAAGCACGTTTATGTGTGGCTAAGTTTTTCAGATATAAACAGTCGAATCCTCACCAACAGCTGAGTGGACGCATACTTTACCAGTTGAACAAATCTTTTAGTTAAACCTGCTATCAATCAAGCATATTCCCTCTTTAAACCGGTTATAATGATTTATCTGCATCTTCACAAAGTAAACTTACTTTTGTTGTGGTACCTGCAAATGATGATTTGCCTGGCTACCAGTACGCTACCTGCACCTGGTGAATTCACATACTTGCGTTTCCCAACCCAAAACAGGTAGGCTGATACAATTTCATTGGATGCATCTAAAAGAGATCCGTCTAGCACCAGGCATGATTTTCGAGGGCGAGTCATCAGCACCTATAATTCCAGAAGAGGTCCAAACAATCTCAGAAAAAGAAACCATTCAGAAATATAGGAGTACTTTCCCCCACTTGAACACTCAACAATTCCGGATCAGAAGAACACCAAAAAATGGTAAGGTAAACAAATACATTGACTATTTACAAAGAAACAAGCTGAATTCTAATTTTTTTTTTTCATGGGCTTAATTGCAGAGCTTGGGATGTTACTTGATTCTGTTGAATGGAAAAAAAGTGATTTTCCTGTGACTGTCGTTGAAAGTTTGAACTAGTCCATTTAAATCCAACCAAACTGATTAATCTTTCTCTCTTAATACAGTTCAAATTAATTCACTTGAAAGAAATTTTTCCTTGATGAAGAAAGACTTGAAAAACTTGAGAAGTGAAGCTTGGAATAAATTCAAGAATCAAAACCATGAAAATTCTCACACAATTTTGAAGAAATTTGATGAGTTGAACTACATTCATAAACTCCTTGGTTACCGCATAAGAGACAAGATTTCCAGTTTAATTAGCCCTGAAACAGGTTCAAGCATCTTCCCAATGAAGCATTTAGCAAAATATCTTAAATCACTGATGGCAGAAAGATTGATCACTTCAGCTGATAAAAATGCTGAAACAGATTCAATGATTAACAGCTTGAATGTTTTATTAATGGAATCAAACTATCTTTCAAGAAGATACATCCTCTTTCCTCAAAAGAATAAAACCACCTTGAAACTACAGAGAATCATCTTCCAAACAGTTGATTATATGTTCCAGCATTGTCTGATATCACCAAGGCAGTTCAGATATTTCTTTCAGATGCCAAAAACTCTCAAATTAGCAGCAAGGAACATGGTTTCAACCTTTGAATTAAGGTATGGAAGAGACTTGTTTTATCCCAAATTTCCTAGACCTCAATTCATCCTTCACAACCCATATTCATCCCACTTTTGGGGATTATTTCAAGGTAAGTGGAATGAATATCAAATATGTTAAATATTTTGTATGCTGGATACATGCATATTTCTGATACTGATTTGTTGAAATGCTCTCACTGCATCATTCTTTTTTTGCTTGTGGAATCTCATTAAAACTCTACCAAGTTCTTGATGAAAAAGAAAAATTACTCTTTTCATATTTTTCCTTGAAGTCACTCCTTATTTACAATCAGACATACAAAGAACTTAGAGCAGATGATGTGGTTATTTCAGTTTTGAAATGTGAAAGTCTATTCAATACATGGGAAAACCAAATTGGAACTTCACAATTGACAGAGAAGAAGCAAGAAATGAGTTTGGATGAAATCTTGAATCATACCTCAATGATGGAAGCACTTCAAAAGGCAAGAAAGCATTTTATGAAGCCTAAGAAGAAATACAGAAAGCAAGAAATAAAGATTATATGCTTCCTTTACTTAGATTTTATCACAGAAAATTTTGGCAAATATGCTGCTAGTCATCAAGTGAAGCCTAATTTCCACAAAACATTCAGCTTAGTTTCTAGAAACTTCCAGTTCCTAGAAGAGCTCAGTAGCATACATCAATATGTTGATCAGTTAAGGGATCCCTCTTTTACTTTAAAACTCAAACCAAAGAGCCCAAGAGAATATTTGAAAGAAGTTAGGCTGATCAAAAGATACCTTAAAATTATTTTCAAAAAACATCACCAGTTCACAAATAATATCATGAATGATGATCAAATTGAAGAAATCTACTCACAGGCAGGGCAGATAAATCTGACAAATTATGAATTGATGAGATCAATTTCATTAACTGAGAAGAAGCTACAGGATGATGAAGATTTACAAGTCATACATAGTTTACAAAAGGAGAATTATATTTTTAAATCTTTTCATTGTGGTTTGCTTTCATTTTTTCCACATGCAAGGAACTTTGTTCATTAGGTAACAGAAAAGATATCCTCAAATACAGAAATGCTACAGTTTCTGGAGGAATTACCATTGATCTGTAATGTCCCTTGGCTTAGACAGCTTAATCCCAAATGCCAAAATGAGCTTTATCATTGAAATTTAGCTGTTGGAAGGTTACATTAAGCATTCCAGGCCAATGGAAATTCCTCCATTCATGAAAATACAGAACTAGAAATATAGCTTCCCTTCTCTTTTTATTTTGTTTTCATTTGAATTGTCTCATTTTCCAAACCATAATCCAACCCAAAATTGAACATCCTACTAGCTCTGCATATCTATTCCAAAGTTATAGTCTGTCTGACTTATGATGGCTGCTTGGGCAGCCTTAAGATTAAAAATACCACTCAAGATCCCCACAGGGTCTGTCTCACAGAGATCCTGCAGGCCATCCCAGGAGAGAAGGGAAATGGGACTTGTGTTAAGTTTGGGGTAGCCTCACCCAAGCAGACATCCTTAAGTGAGATGTTCCTTGTTTTAGGCAAACAATAACTTGAGGTGACACTCTGTACTCATATCCTCTTTTGGATCCTTCCCTAATTACATTCTCATAGCTGTAGAATTCATTCTCCTCATTCTCTTGCTATCTAAGAACTTCTCATATTTATTAGCCCAGATTTGCACTCCCATTTTTTTATATTTCCTGGCTAACCTCTCAAGCAGAAATACTTAGAAATATGATTCTCTCCTCAGATCTTTCTTCATGCCTGAGTCTTTCTTCATGCCTGAGTCTTTCTTCATGCCTGAGTCTTTCTTCATGCCTGAGTCTTTCTTCATGCCTGAGTCTTTCTTCATGCCTGAGTCTTTCTTCATGCCTGAGTCTTTCTTCATGCCTGAGTCTTTCTTCATCCCTAAGTTTTTAGTTGTAAAAAACATATAACAAAGCCTGCTTTGAGAGAGCCTGGTGAAAATCTTACAACAATAAAAGAATAAATCAGCTACCACTAAAATTACAGTGTCAGAGGTGCTTCCATTGATTTGATTTCTCTTATTTTTGTCTTTTTCTTGTTATGTGTCAGTAAATTACACTACAAACAATACCAGTTTTGCCCCAGGAAAAAATGGCAATTTGCACGGTGGAAAATAGGTCAATTTCCTGAGTTTTTTTTACAAAATGACTCAGGAGTAAAAATCGGACTAAAATGAGCTATTTTAGCCAAAAAATAAAAATGCCTCAAATGAGCTAAAAATTAATTTTGGAATGTTTGAGGCAAAAATAGCTCATTCTAGCCTAATTTTTACTCCTGAGTCATTTTGTAAAAAACACTCAGGAAATTGACCTATGTTCCACCATGCAAATTGCCATTTTTTCCTGGGGCAAAACTGATATTGTTTGTAGTGTTAGGGGGATGTAAATTTTGGAAAGGGAATTTTATCCAGTCCTTTCCCCATCCCTGTGTAACCCTATGCAGTAAACAGAAAAACAACAAGTCAAAATTGGTTGGAAATGACAATGAGTTGATTTCAGCAGGACTATATTAACAAGAGAGTTAAGTTTTTTTTGTTAGCAGCAATGTTGAACTCATGAGAGCAAATTTTTTTTTCACTCTGGACTGTGGGGAAATCTGTTTCATCCCCTTGGCCAGGCCTAGAGTAGGATGCATTGAAAAATATTTGTGATTGATGTTCCGGATAACAGCCTTGGTTTAACCAAAGTCTGCCAATCCACACTGGGAATGGGATTAAGAGAATTCCCGTTTCAATGGGACACATGATGAGCAGCTCAGTGCGGCCTGTCCTTCCATGGTCACACATCCATTTTCAGGGAAGCAGTCAGAATCAACTTCAGATCCACATTTATTGCAAATGCCATGATAATGTTTTGCAACAGATCCCTCCTAACAGTCGCGGGAGGGTGAGTGGGTATGTAGTGCGCAACAGGAGCAATCCAATGAATGAATAACAAATCAGCCATGTATCATGCCTTGCTTTACACATTATAGGTTTTCTCCAAAAGAAGAAGAAAACCGGATGGTTGTGTGTGGCTCGCAATTGAGACGGTTGTCTTGATCAGCTTGGATGCTGTGGTGATGGCGTCCCCAAGGGTTGTCATAGCCGCACGCCTTATTGTGGGCCATTGTAATCTTTATCTCTGAAAGATGGTAGGGAAGTGAAGCAATAAACTAGGACAGACAAGGCACATTCCTTAAATCCTAGACCTAAATTTTGTTTCGAGAAGATAGCCCAATGAGCACACATGAGCGGAGAACTCAGTAACCAACACCCGCCCCAGTGGCTGAGGTTCACGGCTCACCCTCACCTTCTCTATAAAAACAGACTCGTACTCCAGACAATTTGTGTGTGTTGAACTTGCACTAGAGATGGGCGGGGATAATCCGTTGCGTATATCTGCTATCCCCTGGCGGATACCCGCCAGAGGATGCGGATTTGGGTGCGGATGTTCTTTCCCCGCCAAATCCCGGCGGATATCCGGGTATCCCCTGGGATACCCAAGACCAATGGGGGCATTGATAAACGCACGCCAGGTGGGGATTGGCGTGCACGCCAAAGAAAATTGGCGTGCGGGCCTGCACGCCAATCTACAGAGTGTAGACCGGCGTGCAGGCCTGCACGCCCGCCGTCCCATAGGACCCAGGCATGGGTCCTATGGGACGGCCCCTTTGTTTTTTTTTTTTTTTTTTTTTTCATTTCATTTCATTTTTTTTTTTCAAATCCCCTCGGCCTAATGAGGCGGTAGGTAAACACCGCCTGGAGGAACCCCTCCCGGCAAGCGTATGTACACGCCAGCTTGTTGGGAGGGGTTCCTCCCGGCGAGCTGGTTTTACCTTCCGACGAGCTGGTACATATACCAGCTTGTTGGAAGGGATTCCTTCCGACGAGCTGGTACATAATCCAGGTCGTCGGAAGGAACCCCTTCTGACGAGCTGGTATATGTACCAGCTCTTCGGGAGGGGTTCCTCCCGGCGAGCTGGTTTCTATACCAGCTCGTCGGAAGGAAACCCTTCCAACAAGCATGTACACCGGCTCGTCGTAAGGAAACCCTTCCAACGAGCATGTACACCGGCTCGTCGTAAGGGAATACTTCCGACAAGCTGGTTTCTATACCAGCTC